TTTCGTTTTCGTAAATATTTATTATTCTATTTTGGAAATTTTATTGTTTCGTAAATTTTTAGAATCTTAAATTTTCCAAAAATGTATGAACATCTGTAGTCTAGCTATAATACAATGTTTTTTTTTTATGGACAAAGAGCAAACAATCAAATTAAAATATTTGTACAGATAAAGAGCTATAGGTATATAGGAACTAAAGTATATAGATAAATAGTCTGTATATACAATTTTTGCACATTTCATATAAATAAATTATTAATAATAAATACCTAATGTCAACATGAAAGCAAATGGAACAGTTGCTCATCCGATATGAGGAAGTGATCGAGAACCAGCTTTAAGTAGAAAATCTCTCAAGTAGCATAACCTTATCGATGTCAGGCAGTGACGAGCCGGCCACGCCCACCGATTTCTCTCCTATCTGCATTTCCTATCATTTCACGATTTATTTCACATTTTTACCTATGATATTTTATGATAAAATCCAATTTCCCTCGATCACGATATAGATGTTTCCGTTTATAATGGAATACGTCGTAATAAACACTGACGTAACCGATAATCAAGACACGCACAATGTAACATTAACTGACTAACGAACCTGATTGAACGCAACGAGGAAAATTTCCCGGAGTCTTTTGAACCGTGAAAGTAGTACAAGGAAGTAAGATGCTCGTGACTTTTAACGATCTCGCTGGAACTTCGTGAGAGATGGGCGGAACAAAATTGAGCATCGCGAGTGTCATTTTCGGGTTTGGACTGATTTGATCGTCACAATTTCGTGGATCGAGAGATTCTTGTTAATTTCGAATCCAGGAAAGAAAATCTTCAAAAAAAAAAAGTAAATAAATAAATAATAATAGAAACTTCGTGGAATACTTCGTATCCATCAATTCTAATAAAATATGAAATATAAAACGAGCACAGAGCGAAATAAAAACGGACGTGGTCACGTGAAACGCGTTTTGATATTTCACCAGAGAGTCATATGTGTCAACGCAACACGAAGGGAGAAAGAATGATAACCACAGATAGATAAAGAGATAGAGGAGAAAATTATCGCAACACAAACAGACCTCTGGCCTATATTCTTACAATTAGTTGTACATTTTCTCTGAAAAGACCTTAGCGTTCTCTGTTTCCCATTTCAAGGCTTCTCCCTTCTCCCCTATGCCATAATCTTCGCGCATCGACCTTCTCCGCCATGTTTTTCCTCCCCTTGACGCGTGCCCAAGCGACTCTTCCCAATGACAACTTCCCCTTCATGTCCTTCGACTAAGTTCAAGGTGACATTTTCCAGACGAGGACGGAGAATCTCAAGAGAAACTCGTCCTTGTTGCTGGCATAGCGCCATTTTATTTCTACAAATGGGGCGCCATCGGATCTTCCTCTTTTGTAGAAGAACTACTTCTCACCCCTTGCGAACGAGTCGCCGAGTATTAACTTTGTTGCGAAGATGTCGTAAGAGTGTGTTCCCTCAGGCAGTCGAGGAAATATATGACTGAAGTGAATTTTACGCTAGGAGGTTTCCACTTGTAATGAAATTGATATTCATTCGTCGTGTTGGGAATTAAATAAACGCGACGAATTGTTAGAAAATTATCAAGATACTTCAAACTTTAGAGACGGTGTATTTAATGTGTGCAATATTAGTAATAAATAAACTACGGATATTTGTACAAATTTATATATCTTTGCGAAGATAGGCAAAGAATTGTTTTACCTCTGTTAAATGTAATTGAAGGTCTGAATAATTCTTTCTGGAAGAAGTTAATGAAAGTCAAATAGGAATTGCATTCAGGAAGATTGCAGCTAGCAAAGTAAGGACGAAGAAAGTTCGATCTCAAAGTTAAGGTCACTTGAACGGTGTAGTAAAGTCACACGAATTCTATACTTTACGTGAAGATTTTATTATATATGTATATACATATTACTGTTTTGCATCTGTGTGAAATAAAACACAAACATATCTATAGTAATTGCAAGAGTATGGGAATACCACCGTACTTCCGGTGTTAGACAACAGATTGAACAAACACACGTCACAAAGTTGTTAGAATTGATTAAGGTTTCTCATTTCCTCTTAATAAATTTTTGAGATTTTTTCTAAATGTAGAAAATTCAAAACTAAATATCAAAAATATCTTAAAAATAAGGAAGAATATTTGTTTATAATTATTAGACTGTTTCGTATAAAGTGACTGGCTTCAGAAACGTCGACACATTTAAACGTGCAATATATTTTGTGTCAAATGATTTTGCGACTAAAATGATTTGATTTTGAATAAGTTACGATTTAGATTGGAGAATGCAAAAACGATTGGCAGTGATTGATCACTTGAAAGATTTTAATTACAAAATCATTATAAAATTATAAATTTCAACAATTGTTTCCGAGAAAGTTATAAACTAGATTGTTAAAACGTTTAATATAAATTTTCTTAATATAAAAATAATTTCTAGCTATGTATTTAAACCTATAGCTATCGAACCTTATATTAAGAGTCTGTCTAACACGGTTTAACAAAATTAAACAAGCTTTGTTGTAATAATACAAATCTTCTCTCATTAGCACGTAAATATTAATAAAAAAAATATTAACAAACAAAATTTACGATTGAAATTATCACGTGATTATATATGCATTATTTGCATTATTTCAAACATTAATAACAAGATGTGTATCAATAACAAAAAAATATCGTGCAAATTTTCCATTTCTTCGAAGCATAAAATATCACTTTACTTTGCAAAAATGAACTTTCTATTGAGAATTACCTACGTTACACGAGAGATTAATTCACTTTTCTGCTTTCGCTTAATTTTTTTCCGTTTCCACATTCGTAATTACGAATATTGTGCACGAGTTTTCATACGGACGGACAAGAATATAATTTGTACAATAGCGTATTGGTATTATGTCATAAGTCTTGAAAGCTGTACCGGAATTAGTAAACCACGATACGCGTGCGAACTTAATCTACGAAATGCGGAAGCGCAGCGTTGATTGCAAAATCTCGCGATGCTCGCATCCGGAAACACGACTGCTGCTTTTTGTAGTGTGAAACTGCGGTCCGGCCCGTTAATGACCAGAAAAACATGACATTGGAACAGTAATTAATCATGCCGCGGTTTCATTCGGCGAATTGTTTGTCTCGCTTTCCCGAAATTTAGGTGAATTTCAACAACGGGAACGCGTTGCTATCTCGCGTTGCATTTGAAATGTGCATGAAATCGAAATGCTCCTTCGTGATACGAATTACGAGCGCGCGTGTTCGTGAAATTCAAATGATGATTTCGACGTACTGTCGAAATTCGACATCGTTCGTGAGAGATTTAACGCGGTTCACAATTGCAAAAGAAAATTTTCAAAGGAATTTTTTATTAACACAATCAATTTGAATATATCCCGAAGAAGCGTATAACCGAGAATTGCGGCCTGTGAATATCGATATTGTTGAATGAAGTGAATAAATGGGATTCTGTGCTTTATTCTAATCATTGGATATGAGAGAATAGAATTTTTTGAAATGTTGAGAAATTCAATTCAGTTAGAATTTCCGATCAATGCTCCGAGCGGCAACTATCCATGGCATTTAACCGATGTGGATTAATTCAACTGTGCGTGTGTCTGACAGTTCAATTACTAAAAAAAACGCTCTTCAAAAATTGCAAGATAAAATTAGAAGCGGGATATGATATAACAAAAATGCTTAATTCTCTGGAATTAATTCCCACGAATAAAGTTAAAAAAAGAAAAGAGTTAGCGAGAAGAATCTAAAATAAGGCATCTGAAACTGTACTAAAGATCTCGGTTGGACATTAAAAATAAACGAATTTCTGAATTCTGAAGATTCCATTTCGAACATTTCTTTTCAATTGAATCGAGAAGAATTTTAAATAAACGAAAATACAGTCTATATATGGATGAAGCGTACAATGAATAAAAATAGAACATACTTGATTTGAACGAACGCGAATAAATAAATAGTTTAAACGATCGGACAAACCTGATTTCCTCTAACGTGATTGACACGCGCACCAGGACGAATTAAAAAAAATAAACGAGCTTAATTTATTCCGCGTTTCTCCTCCAGCTGAATTTTATTTCGCGGAATGCACGACTAACCGGATCTCGGATCCTATAAAACGAGCGACGCAACTTGCGAAATAAAATTGCAAGCGAGAATAGAATTTCAGACCTCTCGTTGTTTTCACCCGCGAGCTTTATCTCGATAGTGAGTTTCACACGAAAGAATTTTACTACCTCACGGAAGTTGTTTTTTTCCCCTATCAGAGTCCATGACACGTCTAAAAAAAAAAAAAAGAAGGGTGCATTCAAAGTATTGCTATTCGAGTTCGTGCCAACACTTCAGTTACAGTACTTGAAGATCAAATGTAAATGATAATCAAAACTCTGAGCTAAATCTACCAGCGGAGTTACTTACGTAGAAATAGTTGAATAAAAGTTCTTTATACGCAAAATTCCTTTATTTATTCCGGCGTTAAATAAACGATTGAAATAATTGAAAAGAAACATTTGTTATTTTCGTAACGTTGGTCTTTCTGCTGGTACACTGTTAAAAGAGTTAGCTGATCGTTCATTTCCAAATTATTGCAGATGAAAGGGCCGAATTCTCCGTTTTTTAAGCTAATAACTAAATTAATAATTTCTGTTGTAACTGGTTGTATAAAAATTACGTTCTACGTACGAAATATCAGCAACGGTAAAATCATTTTGCACACAGCTGTATTACAAAATCGAAGGTGATTATGATCGCGCGAGATATTAACGTTCGAAAGCACAACACGCGACGGTAATTAGATCGATTCTGACGAACTGATAGTCTGTTATAAATTAACGACAGATAAAAGCGATTATTCATTCACAGTCGGGATATGCGCCACGTGCACGTGTTTACGGTAATGAAGAAAACTGTCTGTTTTGAAATTTGAATTTAAAGTAGAAAGTCTGTCAAAATAAATCTCTAACGATAGCTCGATCTTGCAGGAAATGCCTGCCATTTACAAAAGAGAAGCGGCGAAGATGCCGGAAGAACCGGAGCCAGTGGAAGAAAACGTCGAGTTAACGACGAAAATTTTTGTCACCACGGAAGAGGAAGTGAAAGAGGGTAAAACGCTTCAAATCTATCTTTGCTTTCTGCCTTCGTGACCAAAGATCGCGTCACACTTCTCATTCTCGTTAACAACTAACGTTGCGTCGTTAACAACTAATCGTGTTTACAGTTAGCACGGTGGCGGTGACGGAAAGTGCAGGGAAGAACTTCGAGACTCAAGTGGAGAACCTCGGCAAAGAGCTTGCAGAGGAAATGGGAATACCAACATGGGCACTCGTAGCGATTTTAATAGGTAAAAGCAAACGAACGATTAACATTTTTCAAGATCGAAAGGTTTAGCGCCACGCAGAATGAGAACAAATTGTATTTTTAGAATTGAAATGGAACATCAGAATCAATATTAAAAAACAGTACCTGACACATGAGTGATTAAAGATGTGAGCTAATTTTTGTGATTTAACGATTGTTAATAATTTGTAATAATCGTAATCACTTTTAAAATATCTGGACCTTTTAGGTTTTTTGTTGGTATTACTATAAATTCCTTTTTACAAATTTTGACTTTTAATTGGAAATCATGTATAGTATAATATTTTTATAAACATGATCACAACAAAGAACATAATCATTTAGAAAACGAAAAATTCGTACTCTGAAAGACTTTAAAAGTTATTATTAATTTATTCTAGAAGAAATTTCAATCAATTTATTGATTACTTAATACTGCTGTAGAAAATCCTCAAATAACTCATCTTCAATAAGATTCAAGAATTAACGTCTAGATAAGTGAAATACGAATATTTGAGAAACAATTGACACGTTTTACTCTTTCAGAAAATTCGAATAACATGCTCCAACATGGACAACATTAACCACACAAATTTTCTTTGTTTCAGTTACATTAAGTGCTGACAAACACTCGAACACGTCACATTATATTTTTACTTAGATACTTATGTAGTTCGTAACAAATTAAAATTACATTCATTATACAGGCAACAGCAGTAACACCGAAATAGTATGAAGGAATATACAGACAGAAGAATCAAAAATCGCTTTTGCGCTTGTAAATTGCGCTTGCATACATGCAACACAGGCAGAAGTACGATGCAAAAGTTTCAAAAAAAAAAAAAAAAAATATTAAAGAAGAAGATTAAAAGAAAGAAGATTAAAGAATTAAAAGAATTAAAATTTCTTGTGTTCTTAACGATTCGGAGATAATATAAAAAATTGCAAATTCTCTTGATAACTCGAGGAATAAGGATTCTCACACTGTTGAAGAATTGATGAAAATCCTTGTACATTTAATGATTCAAAAAAACTAGAAATCTTTCACATCCTCCATGACTTGGGAAGAGTCATTGGGATCTTTGTCTTTTCAACAACTCAAGAACTTCGAATTCTTGCATATTTTATAATAATGCAGGGATCGAAACTTTTTGCACGGTGCTCTGTCGAGTGACGCTATTTTATAGAAATAACCGAGCTTCCAATCCGAGTTGGCAATTTTTTTTAATGCGTTCTTTCGATTTCTTCCTTTCTCGCTTTGAGTAGCCGTACTGGTAGTAGTTCTTGGAATCTGCTTCTGCTGCATCAGAAGATGCTGTCGCAAAAGACGGTCCAAGGATGGGAAGAAAGGGCTGAAGGGCGCGGTGGACCTCAAGTCCGTGCAACTATTAGGCAGCACGTACAAGGACAAGGTACGTACTCGGTGTTCCATGACTTCATGTAGATGTTAGACGCACATTCTACACTCGTGGAATCCACTTCGATCTGTTAAGGTTCAGCCGGATATGGAAGAGTTAACTGACAACGCTGAGGAACCGGACGAAGGCGAGAGTAAACAGAGCGAGGTGAAACTTGGGAAGCTTCAATACAAGGTAGGCTACCATTTCATTGAAGAAACAGTTCTCATAATTTATAATTTAAACTAGTTGACAAACAACATCTACATACAATTGCTCGCGAATGTGTTCGAACATTTAGAAACGTTTTTTAAATCTAAAAGTATACGTATAAATTGAGACAAAGATATTTAATTGTATATCTCGCAAAAGTATTTGATACATTATACAATTCGTTGTATCAATTATTTATTGGGACTATCTTTATATGTTTCCAGTAAATATATATTTCCGTAAATTCCAAAATCCCACGTGTTTTGTATACAACACGTAATATGAATATACACATAAGCTATAAGTGTTTGGAAATTTTCACAAGCTATTGTATTCATTTAATAGACTTCCTTGATACGAAGCTAGATATTTGAAAATTGCTATCGGCAAATTAATTAATGATTTGAAAGTTGAATCTGTTTTTCTGTGAAACGACTCCGATTTTATTAAACGAACTCGTAACTTGATGTTGACTCAATCAATCCAAGTATCCAAGTATTTTTAAACGAGTGTAAAGAAACATGTTCAATTAGTATAATCGACAGGTTGCTTCGAGAATGGCCGAAATACTCTGCCTAAAATTATTCGTGTGCAACGTGAACGAATTTTCTTCAATAGAATATAGATGAATCGATGAATCGATGAATCTTGCAGCTCGAGTACGATTTCAACACGAACAGTCTGGCAGTGACTGTGATACAAGCCGAGGAGCTACCAGCTTTAGACATGGGAGGCACTTCCGATCCGTACGTGAAGGTTTACTTGCTACCGGACAAGAAGAAGAAATTCGAGACGAAAGTGCACAGGAAAACGCTCAGTCCAGTTTTCAACGAGACTTTCACGTTCAAGGTCAGTCACGTTTTCTCCTCGAGTTCTAATCTTTTTTCTTTTTTTTTTCGATTCGTTCAACGAGATTGCACGATCCGCTCTTTCTTTCGTGAAAAATCGACTCGGAAGTACATACTCGATCTTGTTTTGTTTTGTTTTGTTTTTTTTCAGGGCGTGGCATACGCAGATGCGATGAACAAGACGCTAGTTTTCGCGATCTTCGACTTCGACAGGTTCTCCAAACACGATCAGATCGGTGAGGTGAAGGTTCCTCTGTGCCAAGTCGATCTTGCTCAGACGATCGAGGAATGGAGAGAGCTGCAGAGCGTCGAGGGTGAGGGTGGCCAGGTAAATTTTATTTTCAATTACGAAATGTTAAAGCGGTGATTTTACGAACTTTCTCTGTTCGAACATTATTGTTATTCGATAATAATACTTCTGTCATGCTGGATTATTTTATATGCGTGATTTTCATATTTCGCGGAATAACACGCGAGATATAAAGATTTTACTGAACGGCAATGATTGAAAATATTCGTAGCTTTCTCAGCTTCCAAAACTTCTTTCATCGTCTCTATGTTCGAAACTGTATTATATTACATTATGACTCCGGATATTATTCTTCACTATTCGTCTTGCAAAGAGCAAGGCTCACGTAATTTCATGAATTACAGGACAACAAATTGGGTGACATTTGTTTCTCGCTTCGATACGTGCCCACGGCCGGTAAATTAACGGTGGTCATCCTGGAAGCGAAGAATCTGAAGAAAATGGACGTCGGCGGCCTGTCAGATCCTTACGTAAAGATCGCACTGATGCAAAACGGCAAGAGATTGAAGAAGAAGAAGACGTCGATCAAAAAATGCACTCTCAATCCGTATTACAACGAATCATTCACGTTTGAGGTACCCTTCGAGCAGATACAGGTACGAATCGTTGAATTTTCTCTACTACCGTCCGTTTATTTCGTTCCCTCCGTGTTTGACACAGTCCACAGACACAGGTAACAGTAACAATACACGTACTTCAACATCTTCTCTACTTTTCTTACTACATTAACTTAGCACACCCTTTCTTTCGAATTACTTTCTAGACAAGAGCCACGACAATAACTTTATTTCTTATTATTTTTGTATCTCCGTAGCATAAGACTATTACGTTTATGCTAAATACGTTCAAACCATTGCAAACGGATGATTTAAGCACATTCTAGTGAAAACGAAAAAATGATCCGTGTGTGATGCGTTCGTGAAAAGCCTTTCACAAGGTGCCAGCAACGTAACGTGTGCCATTTTCAATCGAGTGAACAATTTTATTATACGTCGTCAATATACATAAGTTCTAGCTTTTATTTTCGAGGGGGAAAAAAATGAGGAATAATAAACTGAACAGGATGTTTTCTTGATTTTTTCTCATTTAAATAAAAATGGACCAGAAAGGGCACCTTATGAAGGGTCTGATCTACTTGAACGAACTCTGCGAAAGTGCCATACTTCCGAATCGTAATAACGTGTTACTATTATAATGTTTCGCAAATTTCTGCTGTTATTACAAGCGCGTGAAAAGTTGCTAGCTTTTTCATACGAGCTTGGAAATTACGCTTGGACGCTTTGCATGCACTTTGAACCGGAGGTCAGCCATGTCTAAAGAAGGAACGTCCGCTTTAAGTGAAAACAGTGTAAGTTGAACGAAAGAAGCTGCTTGTCACTATGCCGCGCATATTTCTCTATCGTTGAAATTATGAAAAATCCTGCCGACACTATAAACAAACCGTTTAGTATTAATTTAAAAAGTTCGTCCTTGTCAGAAGTGTTGCCATTTAATATCTAATACTTGAAACTTCGCTATCTAACTTACTATTTAAAATTTCACTGTTCAGTAGACTAGATTTCAGAGACGATCATAGATCTCTTTATCTTTATCTTTATCACGCATACTTTCGCATATTTCTCGTATTATTGCTCGACAAATATATTTCCCTACTTGATAAGCTTTTTCCTACGTTTTGCTAAATTACGATTCGGAGGTGGCGGCGAGAGAAAGAATCCCACCCACGTGAGAAGACTAATGCACTAATGCGTGATTTCACGTTTAGAAAGTGCAATTGGTTGTCACGGTAGTCGACTACGATCGTATCGGCACGTCAGAACCCATTGGGAAGGTCGTCTTGGGGTACAACGCGAGTGGAACAGAATTGAGACACTGGTCCGACATGTTGGCATCCCCGAGACGTCCTATCGCTCAATGGCACACGCTTAAGGACCCCGAAGACGGCGACAAGAAGGACTAAAGTGATCGTTTCAACGATGTCCAGCATAAAGGTAATGCACACCAAATGGTTCTAAGCAGTTGCGACAAATGTACAGAAGCATTATCTTTTTCCGTTTCGTTCCATTTCGTTCG